CTGTTCTCCCCGGAGCCTCCAAGTGGCTTCCCCTCCTTCCGGCCCCCTTCCCTGTTGCTCACGCCTCTCATTTTGAATCCAGTTCTCCTTTATCTTGTTGGCCAGTTTCCGTGGCTCCTTTCAGCCGCATGCGCCCCTTCAAGGCCAAACCTTGGTGACTACAAAATTGCGTGTAGTTTTCTGAAGTACGTTCTTTCTGAGAAGGAAGCTAGCTGAGCCTGACGACAAAATGCTGAAAAGAAAAGAAAAGAAAAGAAAAAGACAAGTGACGGACTGATGCGGGGGGGCTCGCAAAGCCGGGGCAGGAGGCGAGGTGGCGCCTGGGGCGGGAGGAGGTGCCACTTGAGTCGAGGGGAATGATGTGTGTGCAGCTCCCCAGGTGGGTCTGCTGCGTGGACAGCCAGCAAGTGGTCAGTTTCTTCGCTAAAGGGGGGACCCCAAAGGAAAGACGGCGCAGGCCTCGTTTCAGAGTGTGTAAGCAAGCAGATGTGTCGGGGTCACCTCTATTTGGTAACACTCCCTGAAAATGGTTGTGGATTTATGCAGAGTGGATTTCCTGTCTATAGCGCAGAGGTAGTAGCCTGTCTGTGCATAATTGAGAAGATGTTTACAAAAGAGGTCATTTAAAATGAGAGTATTTATGGTGTGTTTTTTGTTTTCCTTTGGAAACAGCCAGAATTGCTGCATTGTGACTTCCTTTACTCTTTTTATAGTTTGTTTACTTACTTATTTATTTATTTTTAGCGAAGAGACCCAGATGACTTTGTTTTCTCGGACAGTCGTGCATGGGCGGCTTGTGAACGTTATTATGCTTTAAGGGGCCTAAGATTTAAGATCTTGAAAGCAGAACGTTAGGAATGAGGGAAGCTTCATGGGAGCAGAATCTTAATGCAGGGTCGTAGCTAATCCAAATGGGATTTCCATTTAAAGTACGTCAGTGGAATATCCCGTGGCGTTGGCGGGTCGACCAGAAAGGTAGTGGTGTTTTTGTTTCACTAAATCCTATCTTACGTGTTTTATTGTTTTATACACAATGGCCTAACATGAGGCCTAAAGTGAATCTTCATACACACGTCAAATTAACAGCGGGTATTCAGGCTTCTTTTTGTGCTTAAATGTTACTTTTTGGCGTTAAGATTTTTCCTTTGTTCACCTAGTTGCACCCGTGGAGACGGTCAAAGTATAGAGGCGAATTAGGAAGTTGAGGCTTTCTAAGCCAGGGCACACGTGTGAGGATGAACACACATAAATTGTATCAATATTTGTGGAGCATTCAGGAGGCTCGGGGACCTGGTGGTCTGTCTTTCTGAGGCCCACGTGAGCGTGCCCAGACCCGTAGGGCTGTGTTGCCTTTTATTAACGGTCACTTGTACTGAGAGCGCGTTCCAGGACAGAGCAAGCCCCTCATCCCCGGGCACATGGACAAGAGGACCCTGGCTGTGGCTGCAGCCCCCATGTGGCACACTTGCGACCCTGCCCCTTGGCTGCCAGCAGGAAGGCCCAGGGGAAGACCCATCCCTCAGGCAGGCCTTCCCGCTGCCGCCCTTCACAGAGGCTCCCAGGCTCCAGGCCTCCGGGGGTAGAAATACCACTGGATGGAGAGTCAGGAGTTCTGGCCTTTGGTTTCGCGTGAACCAGTGACCCCCGCCCGTCCTCGGCAGCGCACTTGGCCTCCCTGCACCTCCGTTCTGCACTGGCTTCCTCCTCTCAAGAACAGGAGGACCTGGACTTGGTGAGTTTCCCTTGTTTTAGAGGGGACGTGAGAATTTCCTGATTGTGAGCTCAGTCATCCTGAAAATAAGACTTGTCCTGATATTTATTTATCAAACTCTTATGCTGCACTTACAGCGGCCGGGTGCTGCTCAACATCCTAACAAAGGTGAAGTCATTCCCTCCTCAGACGGCACTGTGAGGCGGCACTATCGCCGTCCCACGATTGGTGGGAGCAGGGTTTCGAACCTGGCAGCGTGCCTGCCGGCGCACGCTCTTCACCACTGCCCTGTGCTGGCATCGGACGTGCCCACAGCACGCGCTCTTCCTGGTGAGCTTTGCACAGAAGCCCTGACTGACCGTGACATGGGGAATCACAGATACATAAAGGACGGGCATGTTGGGAGCGCGCTCCGTCCATGACTGAGAACAGCAGATGCTGTTTTATGAGCTGCCTATGGGAAGCCTTTGACAAAGTTCGCATTTTATTCTTCACAACGTTTGTGAAAGTAGACGAGGCGTAGAGACACATAGAAAAAGAGCGAAGCAACCTGCGGCCTTGGCTGCAATCAGGGCGGGAGAGTGCTTGCCTCTGATGACTGGTTTTGCTTATGTGTAAATGCAAGTTGCTGTGCTAAGCACAAAGTAATTGTAATAGAGTCATGTAATCATAATGCAGCCCAGCTGAACTTGTTAGAGCTTTAAACTTGCAGATGAGGCTTTCCCAGGGGCTGCCTGTCTGACGGTAGTTGCTATGCCTGACCTACTTATCAGCTTTTTCAGAAGGTGGAATAAAAACCTTGCAGGATAGAGACATACATTGCAAACCCAACATGAATAACTGTGCATAACCCATGATTCATTCTCAGGGCATTGGAAGGGTCACACATCACATAAAGTCATCTTGTTTATGCTTGCAGTTTTCATCCAAGCATGGGTCACAAGTTAATTCTCAATAAATAGACTAAGAACTCTTAGCGGGGCGACCAGAAGCTTTCAAGTCCAAAGGTTATTCGTCTCATCGAGTTTGGTTAGACACACACGCGCAAGTGGATGCAGGAGAACACACCGCCGTTTCTCAGGACTGTTGCGTTTGGTGTCCTCTGGAGTCCTGTGTTTGAATGGCTTCTCTTTTGTAATTAGCATGTTCCTGTGCTGGCTGGGTTAATGGTGGGGATGGAAGGCAATGGAAGAAATCTGTTAACAGAAGTGAGTCGAGCATTTGAGTCTGGGTTCAAACCATCAGTCTCGGTCTGCGCAGGTGCCCTGTGAACGGGTAGAAATCGCGGTGCTGGGAGAAGAGTCTTTTTCATGTGAGCCTAAGAGATGTGGCCTCGAGCTGACATAACATGGCTGAGTAAACCGAGTTCTTGCGGGCTCTGGGCACTGGGCTCAGAGTCTCGGCTCTGGGAGCTGGGTGCCCCGACCAGCAGGGGTGCAGGAAGCCTTACCTGGTCCAGGGTTAAAACCGAAGTGGCCTTTCTAGAGCACTGAGAAGCCAGCCCTCCCATGGGTACAGAGGGAAGGAAGTGGAAAGTCATTAGCAAAAACAAACACCCGGTTTTCTTCTCCAAAATTCACATTCCGTCCCAGTTCTCACGTCCAGTCCTCTCACCTCTCTCCTCCATTTTTTCCTTTTTTACCCTCCCTTTGTCCTTCCTCTGTTGCTTTGCCCCTCCCTCTGCCTCTCCGCCCCCGCTCTGTCCCTCTCCTTCCCCACCGCCAGGTCAGTGGCTGGAGTCCCCAGTGGACACGTTGAGCCTCGGGGTTATACGCAGCCACTCATGCGTGGCTGCTGAGAATCTCGTGTCGGCCGTGCCTGTGACAGAACTTACCTTTGGCTCATCTTGTGTGGCCCGCCCAGCGATGTTTAATTCTATGGTGAAGTTTTTCTCTAAAACCAGGCTATTTGTGAGACTACAGTGGGACAAGGAAAGCAAGAGGAGGACTTGGAGAGGAATCTAGTTAACCTCACGTTAGCTCATTACACTTGCATGGAGCGGTTCAGAGGGACCTCATGTCTTGGTTGCAAAACCACAGGGTTGGCCTTTCACCGGAGGGGCCAGTTCCTTGAACTTTTCCCGGATGGTCCTGTTTCCCAACCTTTGCCTCCCGACTGTGGTCCCCTCATGGTGTACGTAACACCGGATGGGCCGAAGTAAGAATTCTGAGCTTTTTGCCCTGGTCGGGAGGCTCAGCTCGTTGGAGCGTCATCCCTACACCCAAAGGTTGGGGGTTTGATTCCTGGTCAGGGCGCATATAGGAGGCAACCCGATCGATGTTTCTGTCTCCCATCGATGTCTGTCTGTCTGTCTCTGTCTTGCTCTTCCTCTCTGAAATCAATAAACATATCCTCAGGTGAGGATTTAAAAAAAAAAGAATTTGAGATTTTCCCCTCTTTTCACATCATGGCCTTGGCGAGGGTGCTTCGTTGTCCTGTGTGCTCGCCGGCCCGGGAGCCCCCAGGCCGGGAACAGTCTGTGCGCTCGGAGAGTGTCTGCGGGGCTTGGGGGGCGTTCTGGCAGGCTACGACGTACGGACGCCGTGGGGAGGCGACAGCAGGGGGCGCGGGCGTCCGGGGTCTGTCCGTTGCTCCCCCGACGAGGCCCCGGGCCGCAGCCGGGCAGTCGGCCGCTCTCCGTCCTTCTCCGCGCTTCCACGCGCTGGCTCTCCAGCCCGGACCCCTGAGCCCGCCTGCACTCCGCGTTCATTCTTGGTGCGCAGACGGCCTCTTCCCTCCAAGTGTGCTTCTCCCCAAAACTTGCGTTTTCCTGTGCTGGCCGGTCTGGCAAACACGACAATTCCCACATCCTCTCTTAGTGTCTAAAGTCCTTGCGACTTGAAATTCAATACTTTGGAGCTGTTTTCCCAACAAGAGCAGCTGAAGAGCTAGGATGAACCTAATGCACAGAAACTTGAGCACTGTCAGTGCTGACAAGTGCGAGCACCAATCTCCCTCTAAGTGGCCCAGTATGGAGGCGGGGAGACCCAGCAGCACGTGGTTCTCTGAGACAGGCAACGGGAGACACCGTGTCGATCTGTGGCCTGAAATAATAATCAACCTTGTGAGACTGAACGACACTAGGTTTCTTTTGATCACCTTGTGGCTGTTTCCAAACACCCTTCAGCAGGCGCCTGCCTTGCCTGCAGGGCAAAGGAGGGACAAGGGGGCGGGCAGCCGTTTCCCCTCCCCCTCCCAGCCAGAACGCGCCTGTGTGCTTTACGTGACTTTGACGCCACCGCCCCGTGGCCGTCGCCTCTGACGAATCTTTCTCTTCCTCTGCTTTCAGCTCGGGGACCTGCTTCAGAAGCTGCAGTTCGTCATGGCGTACGTGGCTCCGTGGCAGATGGCTTGGGGCTCCTCGTTTCACGTGTTTGCTCAGCTCTTTGCGGTCCCTCGTATCCTTTCCGCTGCCGTTTTCATCCGTATTTCACGGCTGCGGGCTTTTCAGCGGACCCTGCCAATGGGAGCCCTTTCAAGTCCTCATGGTCACAGTTTAATGGGGGCGGGGGCGGCGCTCTGGATTCCCCAGAGCGCACGTAGCCTTCAAAGATGGTTCCTGATTTTGGACTCTCCCTGCTTCTTAATGCATATTCAGGAGTTACTTTGTTTTTTCTGATTCTTCCATTTCCCATGCCCAGATCTGCATGAAGATATCCTGTCTTTCAAATGGAAAATGACCGTTTAAATGATTCCGTCGTCCACGTGTGCAAAATAGTGCACATCGATTTCCTGTATTTAAACAGTGTGGACCGGGTTGATGTATTTGATATGTCATTACAGATTAGATAACGTTGTATTATGATATAGTTTAGTTGTTATGTACTTAATAATATTCAAAAACTCAGAATTAGGTGCAAACAGAATTAGCCCAACCTTTGAAGACTAAAAAAATAATTTGTAGTTTTATTTGGCAGTTGCTATTAGCCAAGGAACCTAGTTTTATTATTGGTAGTTTCATTTGGTTGCCTTGTATGTCTTTAAGTGTTTTCATAATAAGAATCAGGTTGAATTTGCTTCAAAACAAATTTGAGCTGCTTGTTCTAAAGATCACTTTGATGCCTTACAGCGTGCAGGTGGGCAGAGAGAGACAGAGAACACACGCACATGCGTGTGTGTATGTGAGTGTTTGTGGGGGCGGGGAAGAGAGTGTATACACAGGCTGGTAGGAAGAAAGGGACGGAGAGACTGAGAGGAATAAAAAGTATTTATTGAAAAGAGAGATTAAAGGCAAATATCCTTGACTCAGACCTGAAATGTGCCTTCAAAGCTTTTCCTTCCCTCTGATTTGATACTCTCTAACTTTCTATTTCCCAGGACATGATTAAGGGGCTGCTGGCCCCAGAACCATGGTGAAGTTTGCTTAGTAGGCACCTCCCTGAGCCTGGCACATTCTTTTAACATCACCTTTCAGGGGGTGGACCCTGGGACCCCACCTTCCCAAGCCTCCCCAGGGATTCCTGTCCCCCAATGTGTGTGACCCCAGTCCTAGTCCCTGGCAGCCCATCGGGGGTGCTGTTGGCTGCTTTTAAGGTGGCAGGGAATGGCGCCCTGCACCCCGAGGCCAGAGAACACAGTCAGGCCTTGAGCTGAATGTCAAGCTAACGGACTGTGGCTTCAAGCTTTCAGACCATAACGCGCACACCTTCCGTGGCCCCGTCCCCTGGGCGGCCCCAGAGGTTGTGCGGCTCCGACCCGGTGGCCGCCCGCAGGTGGGTGCCTGGGGCCGGCGGTCATTCTCCACAGGACGGTTCCGGGAAGCTGCCACTCGCGGGGAGAACAGCGGGGGACTGAAGCAGCAGACACTGAACGGGCAGTGCCACGTTCCATGCTTTCTGACTCTAGCATGTCAAAAACGTTTAAAAAGCAAAAAATGGCAGCTGACCCCAGGCAAAGAGGCCCTGGAAGATGTAACGATGCTCCTTGGGCCAGCCCTGGCCAGGAGGGGGACCTGCAGCCACACGAGCGAGCCGGCCTGCGGGGACCCAGACCCCCAGCTGACAGAAACAAGGACGAACCTTGGGTTTAAGCCCAGGAGGTACCGGAGTCAGTAACGGAAAGAAAATGTAACAAGATCGTGGGCGCGTATCTGGTCCCACTCACCACAGAAAACAAGATGAAGGGTCGCACTGGGGGAGTGAGGCCCCGCCCCTCCCCTGGCCCCAACCTCAGGGCAGAAAGCCAGTAAGCCTGCCAGTCCCCAGGCAACCTGAAGTCAAGGATAACAGTCCCCCACCCAGCATGGAAGAGAGGACGGCCTTTCCCCCAGCCGGTCTGGATTCAAGGGTGACCGTTCCCCGCCCAGCCTGAGGTCAAGGACCAGCAGCCACGCCCCTGCTGGCAGGAGTCCAGGACCGCCACCCCCAGCCCAGCCCCCGCGTGCGCGGGGCGCCTACCAGCAGTGCCAGCCGCGGTGGCGGAGCCCCAGGGGGAGCCACGAATGAAAACTGCCTCCCAGCTGGGCAGCCCGATGGCGGGACCCCAGCCTCTCCCTCTGGCCCGAGCCGGACCGGCCAGGGTGGCTAGAAGGCGCCTCAGGCTTTTCTCAGAGTTTGTGTGCTGTAGGCCGTTCGCTAACAAGGAGCATCTCAAAAGGACAAGAGTCAGCCAATATAATTTTTTATTCCATATTCTCTCAATTTACTTTTTAAATATTTTATTGTTTATGTTACTACGGTTGTCAAGCCAATATAATTTTTAAAACTGTGGGCGGCCAAGGCAGGGCCACATCAAAGATGCTGGGGAGGTCAAGCCGCACTCCCTGCGTGTTCAACGCTGAGCCCGAAGGTGCCGAGCTCCAGGGAGGCCGGTCGCTGATGCGGGGGATGAGCCAGAGGCTGGACACACACCCCGGCAGGTGAGACGGTGCCAGAAACACGCGCTGTGTGCGCAGACGAGAGGACTCGGCCCAGCGGAGGACGGACGTGTGCAAACTGCCGCAGCCTTCCCCCCGGGATTCACATCAGGAGGGTACCCTGCGTCTCCATGGCCTTCAGACGCACCTTCTCCGCAATCTCTGCCGAGCTCGGAGGACAGCCTGGAGCCCTGGGGGTCCGAAGAGAGGCCGCCCTCCCTGCGGTGCACCCCTCAGCTGCCACCTAAGGAAACCTCAGAGACTGGACTCTTTTTCCTGCGGCCCTTTCCCCGGCCCCGCCCTCCTTTGCTCCCAGGCTTGTGGGGGCGCTTTTTAAAGTATTTGATTCTCCCAACTGTTGTAACAAACTGGGATGCTCTAAAATATATATATTTTTCCTAGCGTACCAAGAGGCAGCCTCACAATGCACGCTGTTCTCTGTTCCTATTCTTAGACCCGCAGTGTTATTTCTAAACCCTTTCAAGGTTCTGTGGCAGAACCAGCCAAGGACAACATGTGGCACCACCCTTTCCTCCAACTGCAGTCACTTTCTGTGACACCACTAATTTCAGTTTTTCTAAACAGTCCTTTCAAACAAAGACAGTGAGGTGCAGGAGTGAGGCGGTGTGTGTTTCTTTCTGAAGTGTGTCTAAGGTATCCTGTCTAGAATTTAAAACCTGTTTATTACATGAAAATTATTAGACTGAGGGCAATTTGCGGCTGAGGGGTTGGGCTAAGAATTTCAAACCCGAAGCGGCGGTTCCCACCTTTGTCCTACCTCTGGCCTCGGGCCGATCCGCAGCCCTCCCTGAAGCGACGCGTGCTTTGTGAGGAGAGCTCCGTGGCGACGGTTTCCCCCTGTGATTCCACAGCTGAATTCAGACCAGTCTGGGAGGCACACCTTCCAGGTCCCTCCCTGTCTGGGTGCTGGGCGTTCTCACACAGGCACATCATGTCTGGCATCTAGTATTTCCTAAAGAATAAAAGAAGCATTAGCGTGTATTTCAGACAGCAGCATGCATGTTAAATCTGAACACTTTCATGAAAGGCGCTGGCTCTGTTTTGGGACACTCCGTCGGTCCCTATGCTTTGTTCCTGAAACTCTCTTCGGTGACTCCCACTTCCTGCCTTCAGAGGGACCGTGCAGGCCTGCGGTCGTGTGACAGGCTTCAGCTCCCCTCCCTGTGGATATCCAAGGACACCCTCCCACCCTTGATCAGCTGGTTGTAAGGGTAGACATCGCTATGTGAAGTCCAGGCTCGGTGCTGAGCAGGATCTAATGGGACAAAGAGTTTAGAAACTGGACATGCACAGGCCATCAAGACAAAGCTATTAGGTTCCTAAATGCCAGCCCTGGGTCTTGAGTCATTTTGAAATGCTAATTATTTTACCACTCTATTAAGAAGCTGTGGGTTCCATCCTGGCGTTGAGAGGGGCCTAATTTGCTCCGTTTTGGAATTGGATTAGCGTTCCGGCCGGCAGGGCACTGTTTAGTAAATTGCTTTTTCCAGTTCCAGCAGGTTTTCTCTCGCAGTAGCCTCTGTCAGCTTCTGAGCTTGTAACCCCCAGGGGAAAATGAGAATGTTCACCCTTTTAATAAGCAGAGACCAGGCCAGACCATTGCCTTCTGACAATTAGGCAGACCTAGCCAGATCACCTCTGTCCGCGCGTATGGGGCTGGCTGCTCTCTGCTCCCTCTGAGCTCCTACTGATGGGTGTTCCCATTGATCCGTTAGCTTGACCCCTTAGCTCTCTTGGTAGGAAATAAAGAGGCCGCAAGCGCCCGCTGTCTCGGGTCCCCACTTCTTGGCTCTGCCTTAGCGATAACAGTCACAGTCTTACACATTTGTCCCGCATGCGATATTCTTTATTGGTCCCCCCTAAATAAAATGACCTCTGAGGCCATCTCCTCACGTCTGTCCTGCCTCTGACCTGTTACATTTCCTTTCCTTTCCTACCACAATGAACTTTATTTATAGCTTAATATTCCTTCCCCCACTTACTCCTTATTTCTGGGTAATTGTTTCTGGCATTATGAAGTGGAAAACATAATCTTTGGGGAAATGCTGGGAATTGAAAAGAGCAATCCCAGCCTCTCGAGGGCCCTGCTCAGCCCCGCCCCTCTTGGCTTCGTTCTGGTTCTCCTGCGTCCCAAGGCCGGTGCCCTCTGTCACCCCGTGATGCGGACGTACGCCCCTCCCCCTGCCCACTCCCGCTAGGGAGCCCTCTCTCACCCCACCTTGCCTTCCCGCATTTTTTCAGTGCCTTCGCTGAGTGGCGTCTCCCATGCACTTCCCTTTTCTTCCAGTGACAAGGGACATCATTTATTTGGAATGTTTGGCAACCCGGGTATTTAGATATTTTCAGCTTTCAGATGAACAGGAAACGGATGGGTGATAATAGACATCACACCAGCATGTCGTTCTGAAGTTCTCCATCTGAACCGAGGTCAAAACAGAAGGAATTGGATTTAAATTGTAGCACAATAGAGATATGTTTGGTATGCAAACAATTCCCAACATGAGAATGGATTTTTAATGATGGATATGTCATTTCACACCTGAAGGTGTAAATAACAAGGAAAAAATAAAAGACACAGTTACTCCTGAAGCAAAAACGTGAGCTGTGAAAACGCGTGGGGACGGGCCCGTGGGCAGCACAAGGCTCGCTCCCTTCTCTGCGTTTGCGCCAAGTGGTTCTCGGAGGTCCCACCTCCGCCCCTACCCATCACGCAACTTGAGCCGCGACACTGGAGAGGTGTCAAAGGCACTTTGGAGCCTGAGTAACCTCTGAGTTCCGATTGGAAATGCCACACAGAGGGACCAGCCCTTCTGGCACCTCCTCCAGATTTCCAGAGACCAGTTGGGCTTTAAGCCAAACGTCCTAGCTGTACTGTTTTTAATACTGAACAATTGCGCTTCTGATCAACCAGAGTGTGTAAAGGTGAGGCACGCGAGTAAGAAACCCACATAGAAGGCAGAGATGCGGGAGGACCCACAGCCTGTGACTCAACAGGTGTATATTTCTAGCTTTCAACCTAGACGTGACCTGGATTGAGCCATTTGTGTTCCATTTATAATAAAATATATATATTTTTTGAGTAGTGGGGAAAAATTCTATAGAGATGATACCTTCCCAAACAAGGCTGTGATTTTAAAAAGTATAAGTTAATTTTAATTGTGTATAAAGCTAGTCTGTCCTTTAGTAAATGTACCATTGTGTGTTTTGTCCAGCTAAAGATATCTTAGTAAAAAAGAAGCCATTATTTTCAAACGTGAGACACTAAATCTTTGCCGTGAATCACACCAAGACCGCTGGGGGTTTTATGGGAATCATCTGATATTGTGAAGGTGAAAGGCGCTCTCGCAAGCTCCTCCTGGAAGTTTTATAGCCCCAAATAGGTACATAGAGCAAGGGCACGCCCTTCTTTCTTCGCTTGGTGAGAAACTGGCTTTCACATAAACCAGTCAAAATCCTAAGTGCTCTCCAGACATAGAACAATGAAAGACAATTCGCCTTAACTCAAAATCCCCAGATTCTGCCATGCTTTTCTTCCAGACGTTCGCCACATCCATCTTTTCCACGCCCTTGAGCCCATTCCTGGGGAGCGTCATTTTCATCACCTCGTATGTCAGGCCAGTGAAATTCTGGGAGAAAAACTACAAGTAAGACCCTAAAATGGGTGCTGACTTGCTTCGCTGGGGTTTGTGCTTCAGCGGGCTCCTTGGCCGCCTCCACGCACGGATCCGGGCTCCTTGCTCTGCTCTGCCCTGCCCTGCCGGGGGGCGGCGGGGAGGTGGGTGGGGAGGGAGACAAAGCATGTGTCTCCGGGGTGCCTCCCCAGTTCGGGGACTGGGCTTTGGGGCTCCCGACAACGTGCCTGATCGCACCCTGGCCGCTGCTGGACACCAGTCTGGGTTTTAGCGGTTGTGGATGAAAGTGAGTTGTCACTGCGAACGTGAGGCGTTGCCCTCCCTGGAAAGGTTGTCTGAGCCAGTGCCACGTCATCTGACAAGCCGGGATGGGCCCAGGACGGCACACGTTCCCTCTGGGAGCTTCCTAAATATGCGAGTCACATACTCATGTCATGCACACGCATCACAGCGCAACGTGAAAGAGGGCACCCGTGTTTCTGAGCACCGTTACACTTGTAGAACGTGATGTGTGCTCTCCTTCCAGGGCATTGGGACGGTCGGTGATACACCTACTCAGGCCTGCGGCGGTGGGTGGGGCGGTCGGTTTTTAAGGGAAGGCGAGGAGAGAGGAACGATGATTCCCTAGGTGGTTTTCAGAAGGCCTTGACGGTGTGTGGGGAAGGGCCTGAGAGCAGCCACAGTGTCCCCCGGCCGGGTGTCGCTCTGCGTGCCCGGCAGCGCCTGCTTCAGACCTCCCTGGCCTAACTCTCTGGCTGGGCCTGTGCTTTGCCACCCAAACCCCAACCCGAGGCCCGTAAGACGTCTACGTTCTGCGTGACTCCGGCCCTTTACAATGCGCCCTTTGTGGCGCACAGAGGCCCACAGTAGGTTAGGAGACCTGCGGCCCCCGTTTCTCCCGTCGGACGGCTTCTGTGAACGTCAAACGCTCAGCCCTGTGGGGAGGGCAGCAGGCCCGCCCGCCTGCCGGGGCTCACACCTCGCCTCCGTCCCTTCACGCCGGGTGTCCCAGGCCCCTCTCTCCTCTTCCATAAAAGGGGGCAAATAACGGGGGAGGGTGTGAGTTCACAGACATACAGCGCCTGGACCAGGGCCTGGTGCAGACGAAATCCCACGTGAGCCTCCGGTGCCGGGATGCCTTTCTGACCTCTGCGTGCGAGTCCCTGCCCCCGCTTGGTGCAGCTGGCAGGTGCCACCACACCTGCGTGCCTCGCACCCCATGAGCTCGCACGCAGGGGTGTCCAGGGAAAAGGAATCGAACCGGAGCACCTGCGGCAGCCGGTGCTGACGCTGTGAGGAGGCGGGGGCCTCATGTTTCTGCCAGGTCCCTGGCGTCCTCGGAGCCGTGGGCTTCGTGCAGGACAAGTAAAGCTGTCCTGAATTTCACACGCGAAGAAGTGCCCCCTTTTGCATGTGTCTAAAGGGACGTTGTGCCGACTTCCAGAACCAGAGAACAAAAGTAAACCCCCAGCACTGGCTGGTTTTTACGCTTTGTTAGGAGAAACAATTCCGGAGACCTTTTTGGAAGTCTGAAAACCGTGCTTCTGGAAAGGGCAAACGCTTGTGAGGAAGAGGCGTGGCCTCTCGTGCTTTTAACGGCAGGGAAGTACACTTTATTTTAAATTTGATTGTCAACACAAAAGATTTCTTTCTGTGTCCTGTTCTCAGATGAGTTGGGAACTGGTCTTTCTGTCCCGGGACGACTTGATATAAGCAACACACACCCCCGCTGAGCTGGAAAGGGCTCCCGCTTCCCGGGTAGAGAGGGGGCCAGAGAAGTCTCCGTGGGAACCTCTCCTGCAGGGGGCGTCCTCACGCCGGGGCGGAGCAGGGACCTGCTTCCTGACAGGGTCGCCTCTGGTGGGAGGCCCAGCCCACACTGCAGGTCTGACTCGGGGTATGTGGGCTTCCAGAGCAGCATCTGGGTTTCTTTTTTCAGCCTCACAAAGAATCGATTCTGCTGTGGTCCTCAGTTGAGCAGTCTGTTACGTGTGGGGGCAGGGGGGCACCGCTGGGCAGCCTGCCTGTCGGGGGCGGGGTTCTGGGGGGCGGTGCATGAGGATGTCGAGCCTCGACCAGTCTCTCTGAAGGAGCCGAGTTGGAGAAAACGCGTCCTGGGGCGGGGTGGGGGGAGGTCCTGGGGCAGACCCCCCGTCTGCGGAACGTCTGCGTCAGCTCGTGTCAGGCGTCGGCGTGCGGAAGCCCCTCTGCTTAAAACACCAGGGACGGGATTCAGGGCCGTGAGGGCGGTGGGCAGCGGGAAGGGAAGGGGCGGGAATCTCATCTGGATGCCGCGAAGGCTCTGGAAAGCTCATTCTCTCTATCTCCAACCGTTGGTTTTATTTCAAATACTTGTACCTTCCGCTGCTTGTACTTGAGAGTGGGCGTCAATGTGGCTGACCTCACCTTTGTTCAGTCTGATGCGGAGGAGTAGTCAGTTCGTGTGACAGAGTCTTTGTTTACTAGTTGTCCTGTCCCTGTAAATGTATGGCCACAAGAGTCCCCTGAAGCTTTGGTGAGCATGGGCCCCTACCCGTGTGGCGAGGGCACTTACAGCCCCCTCCCCGGGCTCTCCGTCCCTCCCCGCACCTCCCTCCCTCCCTAGTCCTCTGGTTTTCCTCTCAGGCCCCTGAAAGCTGGCTTTGGTTTTCGCAAGTCTCCAGCGAGCCCTCCGCTGTAATGAAACCAGTGTAATACTCTAAGGACCCGCTAAGTGAACCGCCAGCTGCCCTTAGCCGCGGCCAGCCTCTTCCCAACCGGGCTGTCTTGAAATCTACAGCCGGTCTGTCCTGTCCCCAGGGCCGCCCCTCCCTGGGGCAGGGGACACGCCTGTCTCCCCCTCCTAACACACCCCTGTCTCGCGCTCCCGCAGGGCCAGCCCACGTCCTGTCTGCAAACCCCGGGAGGCTCGCTGCTGACTGAGGAGCAGGGAGAAACGCCACCCAGGCCGGCACTGTCCCACAAATTCTGCGCCGACGGAAATGCCCCACCGGCATGTGTGGCTAATGAAACAGCACTGGTGGGGCTGGGCAACGGCATTCCTAATGCCCTTTCTTCTTAAGTAACTTAAACCTAAATAGCCACGTGTGCCTGGAGGCTGCCTGATTGGACAGCACCTCTCAGTCTCCAGCCCACCTGGCAGCCTCTCTCCCCTGGCGCTGCTTCATACACGAGTCTCACGGGTTTTCCTTGGACTCTGCCCTTGCCTCCCTCCACCTCTCGTTCCCATCCACACCTGCCCGTGGTCAAAGGGAGGGAGTTCGCTTCCACTTCCGGAGGGATGAGAGGTGAGGTTCGAGAAGGACTTGCAGGCTAGAGGTGATGTGCAGCGGTCTTGGGAAAATAAACTTGCTCTGTGGCCATCAGTAAGTCCTACCCAGGAGTGGTAGGGACCATACTTACCTCCATGTCTAGGTGGGATTATTTCTCATCTCTGTGACTCTCTGGGTCATGCGCATAGTAGGTGTTCTGTAACCATTTCTTCGCTGAACTAAGTCCAACAACGTTGTGTAAAAGAGAAGGGAAATTTCAGTCTGGGTTTTATTTGCCATTGTTAGAAAGCTCACTGTTAAACTGGTCTTCTCTTGACAAGTAAGGGCTTTAAATCCATCTGCATGAGCCTGGCCCAGTGTCTCCGTTTAACTCCCAGGCAGCGATGGCCCATGGGCTGTCATAATAGTGCCTGTGTTTATAAGTCCCTAATGGCAGGGCATTTGGAAGAGCTCTAGAAGCACATTCTGATACTATGATTTATCATCCTGCTCTTTATATATAAACAATCACTAAATAACCAAACTTTGTTATTAAGATGGAACGCATGTTTAGGCTAGAAAGTATTTGACTCGTGTCCCGAGTATCTCAGAAAATGTCTTGGATCTAAAGGAGTTAACTATCTGCAGTCCTAAAGGATGAAAGATTTCATTGACATTGACTTTGTTTTGCTACATCAGAAATCTTCTGTAAAATCCGAAATACCGTTGCTATAAGAAGACATATATAACAGCTACCTGAAAGGCAAGCTCAGCTTTCATGATTTCTGTCACAGTCTCCAGATTGGTTTTAAGACGTTAAATCATCCTGGGCATTATCTTTGTCAACAAATATACATTATGCGTCTACATGAGGGCCCTGTGCTAGGCGTTGAGTGATGGGAATTGCTCTAGGTCCCTGGGCTGCAAAACATCAGCTGTGCGCCCCGAGTCCTCGGTCCCACCCTCATCAGCAAGAAGATAATCAGTGTCACTTAACCCTCAGCTCTTCCCTAGGCGATGACGGTTCATCCGAAAGTCAAGCTTTGTGGTCAGACAGGCCTTGATTAAAACCCCAGCCCACATTTTCGTCTGGGTGTTTGCCTTTGGGGAATTACTCAGCCTGTGAGTCCCAGTGAACTCCCTGAGGAATGGGACGACCGTGTCTTTGGCCTCTGAGAGTCACAAGCACCAGGTGAGGCGTGGGTCACTGCGGGAAACAGGCAGGTCACCTCCCGCCCGCGTGTCTCTCCTTAGTCCCTCCATTTCTTTCTCTCCCCCTATATTTCTATTTCCTCTCACTCAGCCTTTAAATACATGCTTCTATTTATTGATTAGAGAGAGAGAAGCATCGCTTTGTTGTTCCACTTCCTTATGCCTTCACTGGTTGATTCTTGTATGTGCCCTGACTGGGGATCGGACCCACGATCTTGTCGTACTGGGATGATGCTCTAACCAGCTGAGCTGCCGGCCAGAGCTGTCACTCAGCTTTTAATTGATGTCTACACGTATTTGATGCATGTTGGAATGGCGGGGCACGGTCCTGTCCGCCTGACACGCCGCAGCCGGCATGCTGCGAGCTGCCTGCCGCGTCAGTTGTCCCCAGCAGGTGCTGTGTTTATGTTGATGTCCCTCTGGTCACAGCCCCTGGCTCTGTTCCCTGAGCATCACAACTACCTTAGAGGAGAAACGGGCTCTCTGAAGTGCCGCTGTCTTGTGGTTTTTCAGACAACAAAATATGTGATCAAAATATTGTAACTGGTT